TGAAAAACATATTTAAAATAAAAACAAATTTCTGAAAAAATAGTTTTAGTCTTATGTCATGAAGTAAATATATAGTTGTTCCTTTCCTACTTGCCGTGCACAGGGTATTATATGCAGCACTTTGTGCACATTATTATATTGAATACTAAAAATAATTGTATGATGTTGTTACTACTCTAACCCCCATTTTACAGGAGAGCCAGGGTTGTTCTCTTGGAGGTCAGACAAACTTGGATTCAATCCTGGCTCCATCACTTATCAACTGAGTGACGTTGGTCAACTTTCATAACCTCTCTAAATGAAAATTTCCTTATCTGTAAAACAAGGATAATAGAAAAATATCATCTGTCTCATGGTGGTATTGTGAGACAGTGCATGAAAATAATGTAGCACCTCGCCTGGCACACAGTCAGCATATCAGGATCACCACTGGTCCACACATTGCCGAATCCAGGAGTCCATTCTCAGTCTCCATCTTATGCAATCCATCTGTAACTTTTACCACAAGTGATTACTCCCTCCTCCTTGAAACAATCTCTTCACTTGGCCTATAGGATACTACTTGCTCTTGGTTCTCTTACCTCACTGACTGGCTGTTCCTTCTCAGTCTTCTCTGCTACATTCTTCTAATCTTCTTAATTTCAAAAAGTTGGAGTATCCAAAGGGCTCATTCCTTGGCCTCTTCTCTGGCGCTCTATATGATCTCATATAGTCCCATAGTTTTAAGTGCCATGTATAGGATAGGCCCTGTAAAATTTATAAACCAGCCCCAGGCCTCTCCTCAACCCTACTGACTCAGACTTCTAGCTGCCTACTGAAACATTTGTACTCAGATGTCTAGTTAGTAATTCAAATTTAACACATCCAAAACTTAACGCTTCCTTTGCCTTCCCCTGAACATGCTTCTCCCACATTTTTCTTTATCTCGGTAAATGTAAACTCCATTCTTCCAGTTTCTCAAGTTAAAGAGTCTCTCTCACACAACATCTTCCATCCATTTAGGAAATCCTGTCCATTCTACCTTCAGAAGTTATTCTGAATCCATTCCCTTTTCCCTGCCTGTACTGCTGCTGCCCTAGTTAAAGCCATCAGCGTGTGGCTCTGGGAGTGCTGCAGCAGCTTTCTCACTGCTTTCCCTGCTTCCGGCCTTGTTCCCTTGTAGTCTCTTCTTCCCATAGCTAAAAGTGATCTTTTAGAAAACATAACATCATGTTACTCCTCTGCTTAAAACTGTCCAGTAGCTTCTCATCTCACTTAAAATAAAAAAGAAAAACCTTACCATGGTTCTGTGTGGCCTAGCCTTCACCTGTTTTCTGATGATGTCTCCTGTCACTCTCACTGTACCCACGATCACCACATCTGGCCGACTCTGTTCCAGCCATATTGGCCATTTTGTGTTTCCTCAGACATGCCTCAGGCCTGTTATACTTGCTGCCTGCTCTTCAGATATCTACCAGCTCACACCCTCTCCTCTTTCAGTTCTTGCTCGGTATCACCTTTCTGGAAGGCTTTCCCTGTCCACTGTATTTAAAATTGCAAATTACCCAAGCACTCCATATGCCCCTCCCTGGTTGATTTTTCTGCATAGCACTTACCACCATCTCATATCTTTTACTTAACTTACTGTCTGTCTCACCCAACTTAAATGTTAGGTCCATGTTGGCAGAGATTTTTGTTTTGTTCACTACTGTATTCCCAGTGCCAACAATAAATTTGTTAAATGAATGACTAATTTTTTTTCGTTTTAATACTTTATCAGGTGCTACACAGTTTCTGCCTGACCCCAAGCTCATGGATCACGGGCAGTCCCATCCAGAAGATGCAGATATGTACAGCACTAGAAGCTGAAATGTCTGCGTAGAGAACTACCAGATGTGTGAAGCTGCAAATAATGATGAAAACAATCGTGATGGGTAACTGCGACGCACAGAGTATAAGTTCAACCATGTTTTCCCTCACATCTTCTAACGTACCGTTTGACCAATCACATAGGTGATTAAAACACCAACTATGAACAAAATCCAAACAATATTAAATGATTGATGAAGAGGCAGAGGTAGAAGTATTAGGATGCATTTGGTGACTTTTAAGGATGTTTATGAAAAAACAAAAACAGTAAATATATGAACACTGATGAGACTAAAATCTGAAAAACTATGTCTACATATAAATATTTATACGTATACACATACATATTTGCTTTAGCTTTTCTGAATTAATGTCAGCTAAATTAGAATGGTGTGTGGAAGGATGTGTTCCCTTCTTCCCATTTTTTTTTCATTTCCCAGAGCTGGAATAAAATATCCATACTTTAAGGCACTTGGGCTTGGCTTTGTCTCTTTGTTTTATTAGTGTTAACTCCTCTTAAGTGTCCCCAAACACCTCTATTCAAGAGGACCATATGCTACGTGGGACCCCCAATGCTGTTTAGCAGTCCTGCTGGTTCCTAGGTGGTTTCCTATTCTGTTCCCCAGGAGAGGTATTACAGACCTTTTATTTCCAAGCCTCTTATTCCTGCCAAAGATGACCATGTCTCCTATTACTCAGAGAAACAAGAATGTTATTTAGACATGACCATTCCCAACTTCTTCCCATTTACCTTCAAAAGTCTTATGTCTTTTCAGCCATGCAGCCCCCTTTTCTAAGGTCAGTGCTTCTATTTGTGTTCCTCATCTCATTCCTCCGCATCCTTCCCAGTACCATGGTCTATCCTGTTTAATCTTCAGTCTTTGGTTTCTCTTTTCACTCATTTAATTTTCCTCACATCTAAATAGCTTCAGATCTTCTTTATCCAAAAACAACAGTAACAAAACCCTTTCCCTAACCCTGCCTCTTCCTCTAGAGCTATCTTTTCTTTGTCCTTCCCATAATTGCCATACTTCTTAAAGAAGTAATTAATGTCACTTTCTTACTTCCTCGCTTTCAATTCCTCTCTAATTTGGGACACCCTGGTCTCTATATCTGCTTGAATTTTCTGCAATTATTGACTCTCGACCACTCCCTCCTTGAAACTCACTCCTCCCTTTGCTCTCTGTTACTCCTGCTTCTCTTGTTTTTCTTCATTCTTCTCTTGCTCTGAATGCCTTAAATGCTGAGGCTCCCCGGGCTGCATTCCTAGCCTTCTTTTCTCATTCTGTGTGCTCTCTCATTTTCATTCAACGTACTTCACTGACTTCAGCCGCCATTTATATGTCCTTATTATTTCTATTTCAGCTCCTGTATTTCTCCAGAGCTATGGACCTTTCTTTCTAATTATTTATTAGTCATATCTACCTTACATCCCATAGATATCCCCAATGTCATTATGCCTAAAACTAAATTGTCTCTATCTCTCTCTTTTTTTTTTTAAAGACTTTATTTTTTCCTTTTTCTCCCCAAAGCCCCCCGGTACATAGTTGTATATTCTTCGTTGTGGGTCCTTCTAGTTGTGGCATGTGGGACGCTGCCTCAGCGTGGCTTGATGAGCAGTGCCATGTCCGTGCCCAGGATTTGAACCTACGAAACACTGGGCTGCCTGCAGCGGAGTGCGCGAACTTAACCACTCGCCACGGGGCCAGCCCCTCTACCTCTCTCTTCTTATTTCTATGTTTCTCAAATCCTTTCTACCTTTTCTAATCCTTGTTCTCATTCACCTCTTTATTATCACTTTCCTGGATTATTACACTAGCCTTCTGGTTGATCTGCCTGCCATCAGTCTTGTTTTCTGTCACTTCAGAATGTGTTCTGCTTGCAAGTAACAGTAAACCAGTTAACAGTAGCTTAAATAAATAAGAGTCTATTTAAAATCTGGAATTAAGTATTACAGGGTTGGTACAGTGGCTCATTGGTGCCATCAAGGGCCTAGACTTTTTCCACTCTGCTCTTTACTGTGTTAATTTATCACCTCATAGGCAGAAAATGGCTGTTGTACCTGTGGGGGACACATACACATTCAAAGCAGGAAGAAGGGTTAGGACAAACTATGTACCAGATGCTTCTGACTCCCTTTTATCAGAAAAGTAAATGCACTCCTAGAACCCCTCTCAAAAGACTTCTGTCTATATCTGGACCACAACTTGTCATGTAGCCACATTTAGTGCAAGGAAGATTGGCAAAACATATTTGGTTCTATGGTGAGGAAGGCAAGGGGTAAGGGATTTGGAATGGGTGTGAGTTTGAGCTAACATCCAGTGCCTGCTACCCTCTTCTTCTAACCCATCTGTCATATTATGATGAAATAGTTGTCTTACTAACAACCATTGTGGTTGGTTGTCTTTCTGGAAACTTCAGTGGTTCATCATTGCCTACAGAATCACATCAAGACTTCCTGTATGACATATAAGGCCCTTCATATATGATCCCAGCTCAACTTTAATCCTGTCTTCTCTCCCCACCCACCCTACTGCCAATGTATGTCATATTTTATCTATAACCTACAACTTGCTTTTTGGACATGCTTTGTTCTTTTATGTTCCTTTTTCTCTGCCTATGCTTGTGTCTCACCTTAGAATTTTTTTTCTATGTCATCCTGCTCTATATTCCAACTTCTTGTTCATCCTTTAAACCCAATTCCAGTGTCACCTTTCTCAGTTCTCCAAGGTGGGATTTAGATGCGCTCTCCTCTACATTCCCTCACATTTGGTATTTATAGCTGTGATGGCCCATACAATTTACCATAAAACTAAAACTAGTTTAGTATTTTTTCACAGACAGGGTTCCTTGTGAGTATGACTGAATCATCTTTCTGTAGCTTTTGTGCCCATAAAATACCTGGTACATATTGGAAACTTACATGTTCTACCATGCTGGTTATAACACAGGATGCAAAGGTAATTCTATCAAAGGGCTTATATTCTACTAGAAAGGATAGAAACATATACAGATACAGTGGTGTGTGTAGTATCTGCCCTAAGACAAGTACAGCCAAAGAGCCATGGATGCTCAGAGATGGAATGTAGCTCTGGGATGATGTTAAGGAGGCAGTGGTACTTGAGCTGCTCAAGGTGGGGAAGCAGTTCACTTACTAGTTTTTCATAAGTAAGCTCTTCAAAATTTGGCTTCAGTATTTTAAGTAAATTTTTGGTACCTCAGCTCTGTTTATAACCAAACACACTCATTTTTCATCAAATCTAAGACACGTTATTTACCTCTAAGAAAAAAGTACTGCCAGTTGATCATTATACTTATCCCAATTTCAGACATGTTAAGATGTGAAAATATAATCATCTTAAATTTAGTGAGAGATGGTAGGTAAAAAAATAAATATCCTAAAGCTAAGTATAAGTGATTTTTGAATTCTCTACTCTTTTGGATCATCAGCTCAGCTACAACACATTAGTACATTAGTTTGGATAATGGAGAGTTGACTGTATCTGCAAAATCTGTTTCAAAGTAAGAGATCTCAAACCAGAGTTTGGTCACTTGCTGTATTGTACAACACTTAAAGTCAAACTGCTGTAGGGCTCAGGTGACATTCAAATGTTGGAGCCTCTGTTGTTGGGACAAGTTATGATGAGTCCTCTTTCACTCTTCCCATGCCATTTCCATGAGTTCTTTTCTGTTAAATCTGAACAGATGCCAGCCCTCCTCGGAGGAAAGGTCTAAAGCCCCTCGACGAGTGTAGTAATCAGTAGACGCCTGGTTCCAAATGACGACAAGGAAGTGCATGCAGTTACATTGGCTTATGATGGCTATCTGTTTAAAAACAGAGATTACTATTACTTGAAAGTATAGGCTTCATTAACATGTTTATTTTATTGAAGATCTACTATATTCAGGGCACTGTGTGTATAATACTTTCAAATAATAATACAATAGTTATCTTTTGGACTTCTCTAAAGCTATAAAAAGAAACAAGTTCTACTGTTCAATTTTAAAACCCTTTCTTTAAAAATCCAAAACTGATTTGCAAAGTCCACTCATTGGTTTTTCTATAAATTGAGTTCACTGGTTTTTTCTTTGTTCTATAGAAAAAGTTTACCTAAAATTCTCATATGTATTTCCAAAATACAGAAGGATCTGGTTTTTATACTATTCTCATATTCATACTGTGGACCTATTTTATGGGTAAAATTGCCTTCTGATCTTCCTCTTGCTTACTTCTGCTTTATAGCAAATAGGTGGATAGTGTGGTTGTGGATTATATAGAAATCAATTTTTAATTAAATATAACGCTCAAATATAACCTATATGAGTATCTGATTTGAAAATTGTTTAATTGGAATAAATTAAGTACATTTTGAGGTTATATTCAGATGGTGAGATAATTCATCTAATTTATGCCATTAAATAATAATATTTGATGAAAGAAAGATAACGTATAGAATACCAATAGTAATAGTAACACATACCTGACTTAGCCTCTTCAACATTTCAGCTCCAATACCTAGACCTTTTAAATAGATAATGCAGAATGAAAAACTGTAAGTTGAAAATTTCCACTTAACAAGTTATTTGCTTTAGTTTGAAAGAAATAAAATATAAAACCCTGTATCTGGTTGTTATGTATTCTTAACAGCTTGTGTTGAAATCCAACTCATGAATGTTTGTCATACTTCTTTTTCCTAATTAAAATGTGGTTCCAAAGGTAATGGAAAGGATTTTGGATTTATTTTAAAGATCAGTGGAAAGGAAACGAATCCCTGTCACTAACATCCTTTCACAGAGTATATTTCTTATTCTTTTCTAGATAGACCAACCCAAAATATAAAAGCATTTTTTAAAAATACAAATAGAGCTATGATAATTTGGCTTATCCAAGCCTTGATGGGAAATAATAAGAAAATCCTTTTCTAATATGATTGAGTCTTCACCATATGCAAAGATAACTAGGACAGTGATTAGGCTCATGAAATAGAAATTAGGTAACATAAACTGACTTAAACAGCATATTTATATGAAAGCGCTATCTCCTTAAACTAAAATATACCATTTTAATTTTTAAATTATAAGTAATATTATAAATGTAGCTTGACCTCGGTAAGCTTCTGTGACATAAAAGTCCTCTAAGTAAAGCAATTTGCCAATCCAGGGGTCGTAGGTAAAGTAGTACATGGCAAACCCAACGGTTACTTTTCCTAGGAAGAAGGAAGAGAAGGAATAAAGAGGTTAATGCTTTGAGTCTTAGAATGTTCTTTCCTCCAAAATGGAATATCTTTGTTATTTTTTTAACTACCAACATAAAAAAACTCACTGGACAAAATTTCAATACAGAAATGCATAATGTAGAAGGTTTAAGTCCTTTATAATACAACCTTTAAGAGATAAGCCATCTTTTAACACTGTGGAGTATATTCTTCCAGATTTTTTCTATGCATATAGAAAACATAAGTACATATCACACATTTTCTTTTTGAAAAACAAAACTGAGTTTATGTACTTAATATCTCCTCCTCTGCTTAACAGTAATTATATGTTATCAAATTGTACTTTGTTTTCAGGGTAGAGAAAATATACTCCAAATTAAATTGGAGGCGGAAGATTTATTTTACCTAATGGTCTTTGTTGACTTCGTTTTGTTGGTACTTCTGCAATCAGGCAGTAGAAAAGGGGCCTGTCCCCAAAGCCATCCCTGAGTAAATCTGAAATATCAATTCACATACAATATGTTAGAAAGTTTACAGTAAAGAGAAAGAAGATGGTAGAGTGGGCAGTACCAGGAATTTGTCTCTTCACTTCTACAGATGTACTGGCAGACACTGCCTAAAGTGAATATTTTGGAACTCTAGAGTTTATTTGAACACTTGCAACTAACTTTCAGAGGACAACTTGGGTGGTAAATTGCAGTTAATTTTGGTCAAATTCAGCCGTCAGCCCAGTGGTGGCTTCCAAGCCTGCCCACCTCTGCCTCATGGCAGACAGCTGTGGGGACAGCAACCTGAATTTCTGAAGTGGTTTGCTGGAGCCAAGGTAGGCAATAAGGGACTTATCCTCCAAATACTGGAGTTCTGTGTTCTGATTGTGGATTGCTGCTCTGAACGCTGAGGTGAAGACCTGAAAGCTGGCCACTATATTTTCAACCTCCATCAACTAAAGCAGCTTCCAGGAGATTTAAAGGAGCCACATCTGTTTTGTTAGATATTCAAACACAATTATGTATACAACAGAATCTAGAAAGCCACTATGCATGATCAAGCAAAAGACCTCAGAACACCTTAAACAGTCAACTCAGGCTTATCTCTGACACAGACACTTTATAACAATAAAAAAACAGCCACCCCTGAGGAAAGGGGATAATTTGATTTCCAGATTTAACACATTATAAGATTCAAAGGTCTACTTTTCAATGATAACAAGAAAAATCAGAAGAATATACAAAGAAATTGGAAGGCATGGCCCATTCAAAGGAACAGAGTGAATCAACAGAAAATATACTTGAGGAAGCCCAGATGTCAGACTTACTAGACAAAGACTTTAAAACTACTGCCTTAAAAGTGCTCAGAGAGCTAAAGGAAGACATGCACAAAAACAGGAAAAAGATGTATGAACAGAACAAATATCAATCAATAAACAAATTATGAAAAAGAACCCCCACCAAAAAATTCTGAAGCTGAAAAGTATAACTGTGAAATGAAAAATGCATTTTAGGGGTTCAAAATCAGAATTGAGCAAGCAGAAGAAACAGTGAGCTTGAAAATAGGACAGTTGAAATTATCAAGTCTGGGGAACAAAAAAAAAGATGAGGGAAAGTAAACAGAGTAAGGGATCTATGGAACACCATCAAGAGGACCAACATACATATTATGGTACTCTCAGAAGGAGAAGAGAGAGAGGAAAAAAGAATATTTGAAGAAATAATGGTTGAAAACTTCCCCAATTTGATGCAAGACATGGTGGAAGTTAATAAACAGAAACCTCATTAAAATGGAGTTGGGAGGCCAAAAGGTGGGGTGGCTCTCACACCCTACCTTGATAGCAGAGCACCACAGGAAGAAGAGACTTCCTCGTCTTGGCAGGTGAGAAGCTCAGCCAATGAAAAGCCCCTACACTTAGCACACTCAATTCCTCCAACGGACTCTTTACAATAGCCCTCCCAACTTCATCTTGCCCTCCACAAAAGAGTTTCTCCTCCCCTTTCTGCTCGGGACTTGCATGTGGCTTGCCATGGTTGCAGACCCCAAATTGCAATTTTTTGCTGATCTTGAATAAACCTATTTTTGCTGGAGAAATAACTGGATGTCTGTTTGTTTAAGGTCAACATTTTGGTGGCCTGTACAGGGATCCAGAGAAGACCCAGATGATTCCGAGGCTGGTGAGCAAACAGGTGTGGTACCCACAACAGAGCCCATTGAGCTTGCTGCTTTTCTCGCCAACCCTGGAGTTTGAGGGTAAGTCTCTTCTCCTGGATCCAAGCTTCCACCCTCTTTGCATCTGAGGCTCTCCAGGCTTTATTTGAGATCTCTTTTAAGGCTTTGTTCTGCTTAAGGCCTTGTTTGTGAATACTCGGTTGGCACTTTGGCCTGATTCTTTTGAAATCAGGCTGTTTCTACCAGAACTATGCTAAGCCTTCGGTCCACTTCCTTTGGAACCACACTGCTCCTACTTGGAACTGGGCTGGCACTGCAGCCTGACTCCTTTGGAAGCTGGATGTTCCAGTTGAAACTGTGCTGAGCCAGCCTTCGGCCTGACTCCCTTTGGAGCAGACTGTTTCATAGGAACTTTGTTGATCAACCTTTGGTCTGACTCCTTTTGGAACTGAACTGTTCCACTGGAGCTGCGTTGATTCAACTTTTGGTCCGCCTCACTGAAATCAGACTATTCCTACTCGGACTGGCTGGCATTAAGCTTGCAGGTGGTTTGAGCTGTTCAAGCTGTTTGAGTTGCAAGCTGTGTAAGCTGTTTAGGCTGTTTGAGAATTATTCCTTGGCTCTAGAGAAAAATTTCTAAGAAGTGGGATCCCAGTTATCTAAATATGTTGAGGGTGCGCCCCCTACAGGGACCCTGGCTGATTTTATGTTTAAAATTGATTATGATTTTATGTTTATGCACTCATTCCTCATGCGCATTTCTAACTAAATGGACCAACTTAACCAAAAGTAATTTAGAATAGCAGTGGCCCTTGTGGTGAACTTTTGAACTCCCAAACATACTTTACTTAAAACCAGATTGGACAATCAAAGCTCTGTAATTTGCAAAACTAGATGGAATGCCTAATTTAATTGGTATTTTGAGGCTTCCAAACATTACCAGGAGCCTAAATTGCCTCTTTGCAAAATAAAATGTTAAGATTAACTGAGGCAAACAAATGATTAAAGAAAGATGAAACGGCTCCCGAAGCCTCTTGTTCCTCTGCCCTGGCTCCTCGTGCTCTGGCTCTGCCTGCTCACCTTCTCTAATGCCTACACCTCCTCTATACCCTCAGTTTCCCTGTACTAACTCTCACCAAACTTCCCCTTTTCCCTGAAACTCTCCCCACTCCCTCGTCCTCTGAACCTATCAGAACCTGTCCCTCTAAAAATAAGCCTTCTGAGGATCCAAAGGCTGAACTTCGAATCTCTTATACTCCCTGGACTAAAGCTGAACTGTGAGCCACAAAGATTTTCCCATAGTAACCGAATATCCTCACAGATTTGCTGAGGAATTTAATATAGTCATTCAAACTTACCAACCTGGGTTCTCTGACTTACATCAGCCGGTTCATGTGTTTGTCGGTGAAGGCCAGGCCCAGCATTGGATGAAAATTGTTAATTGGGAAAATCCTGAAAGGTGTCTAGAATTAAAACCAGGAGACCAGCCTGCTGACTTGTATGTATAATCAGGCTCAGGCAATCACTAGATGACTACATTGGACAATTCCTAGGGCTTTCCCAAAGCCTGTTGATTGGAACAAAATTCAGCCTTGTGCACAAAAACCTGATAAAACTGTTTATGCCTATTCAAATCAACTTGATTGTTTTTTTAAAAATATTCTGGTCTTCTTTCAGATGTTTCCACCCAGGTAGCTTTTAACTCTATGTTATTAATGAGCTGAACTGGGACCTTTCCCTCCTAGTAAAAAGGACCAGGATGGAATGGGAATCTATGTCCACTCCAGATTTAGTTAACCTGGCAAACCAACTCTCTTGCACCCTAGCTGAGTCACCTAAAAGAAAGACCACCAAAACTCTTAATCTTCAACTCCAGTAAATGAAGTCCCCTAACCGAAATCAAAACCCCCCCCTGGCTTCTGCTATTATTGCAAAGAACCAGGACATTGGAAAATAAATTGTTACAAATTTAAGTGCTTCAAGTGCCTTCAGCCCTCTAACCAGCCTTTCCAGCGCCCTCCAAATTCTCAGTGACAGGGCTCCAAGGAGCCACAGGGGCTCTTCCCAATCCTCCTTCTTAACTGGCTCAGAGGAACATTTCTCCAGGTTGGAGATAAATTTCTTTTTGTCCGAATTGACACGGGAGCCACACTCTCGATACTCAACCCCACTACTGTAAAGCAGCCCCTGCCTTGGAGTACAAACACAGTTCAAATAGTGAGAATTTCTAGTAAACCTCAATGGGTTCCTGTCTCTGAACCTACTGCCTTTTGTTTCGGCTCTTTCAGAGACACACACCCTTTTCTCCTTAGTTCCTCTGGCCCAATCCATCTGTTAAGCTGAGACGTCTTGGAAAACTATGCCAGAATTTAGTTCTTCCGAAAGGGGGAAATAATTCTAGAATTTGACAGTAGCCATCAAAACAGCCAATCAAGTAAATTAAATGACTCTTTGACATCTTTTATTTGCTCCATCTCTGATGTACCAGAGCTGATTCTGGAAACACTGATCATTTGTTCTTGTTGAACCAGCTACCACCCTCCTTATGGGCAAAATCTCCAACTGATATTGGTAAAGTTCAGAGCACACCTCCCATCACGATTCAAATAGATCCCTCAAAACCTCTCCCCAGAATTAATCAATACCCTATAAGTAAGGAAGCTCTTCAAGTTATAAAGCCCATAATAGAGAATTACAAGGCTCAGGGCCTCATTATCCCTCGTATTAGTCCCTGTAATACTCCTGTTTTAACTGTGAGAAAACCCAAGGCCTGAGGGTGGAGGTTTGTCCAGGACCTCCAAGCAATAAACAACATCGTTATCCCTCAAAACCCCGTTGTTCCTAACCTCTGTACACTACTAACATCCATTCCCACTGGAAGCAAATTCTTTATGGTAACTGCTTTATGCCATGCATTCTTCAGCATTCCAGTTGATGAAGCTAGCCAATACCATTTTTTCCTTCACTTGGGAAGAAAAATAATTCACCTGGAGAGTAATGCCTCAGGGTTCTACTGAGCGCCCTTCTTATTTCTCACAAATCCTGAAGGCTGATCTGGATGATATAAAGTTCCCTTGAGGTTCTTTTTGTTGCAATACCTGGGTGATTTTCTTCTGTGCTCTCTCTCCCATGTCTCCTCACAGAAAGATAACATCCACTTGCTAAAGCTTTTAGCCTTAAAGGGACACAAGGTTGCCAAAGATAAATTGTTGTTTGTCCAAACCAAGGTTCGAAATTTAGGTTATTGCCAAAATTGGATACCAAATTTCTCTCTTATGACCAAACCTCCATATGTTTTACTAAAGAACAACAACCTCATCCAAATTTTATGGGAA